CGCTTGGTGAGCTTTTCAAAATCGTTTGAATGCTCTTTTCTGCTCGCCTTTCACTGTATCCAGATGCTCACCAACCGTTGCAAGCCTTTGTTCTTTTTTGTGACAGTGCATCTACCAACACCAGAACAGCCCACCGGCGCAATGAATCGCATTTGCTCGCACTGCCAGCTCAACAGCTAAACATGATCAGAGTTGACAGAAAACACTGAAACAATTTAGCTATACACACTAAAGGCCACAATGGTCGCAACAGTGTTCAGAATAGACCAGAAAGTTTCAGCACGTTGAGTAATGGTGTCTTGTCTTTGATGCGCATGGATGGAACAATGTTCCGGCTTGGGTGATAATAACTGATTGTGTCTATTGCGTGATGGTCTGCACGTTTGCTTGCGAGATAACCCCGACAGGAGCGTCGGGTGTACTGTTGGACACGCCCCACCGAGGCTTGTTGAGGCACAACCTGACTGGATGTTTCGCTTCTCTCACATACCTTTCTTCGCACAACTTACGTTCTAACTCATATCCGACATGCGTTGAATAGCATACACGCCTCTGACGCCGTCGCAGCACGCGTGACATTATCATCGGCCCGCCGGACACGGCAGAGGGCTGGCCGGCGTCTTGACAAGGCGCTTTTCAAGCACTTCCTGTTGGACGAGCGAGCGATCCGAAACGAAGCTGACACATTGCAGGGTCCACAAATTTTGTCCGTCCACATTTAGCGTGTCGATAGTTGTCAAACTATCGACTCGAAGTCGATCTCGAACCGAACAGAGACCAACCGCTGGCCTGATTTTATAGATGGAACCGCTCATTCCGTTAGAGCCGGTTGCGCGAAATCGTGCGTAAGGATCACTGGTGCGACCATCGGTTTGATATACCTTCGTGCTGTAAGTCCCATTGGCTTCAACTGCAATTCCTATCTCCAGAAACGGAAAAGCACCAGAGGCTCTATCATGAATCGAATTGCGGATTGCGCGGGGCTTAGGCGCTCTAGATATTACTGAGGTTCTCACCATGAATCCAAGTGCCTATCATTTCATCTATGCATCTTAATAGTAAATGTCAAGGAAATATCGATCGCTTGTCTCTTTAGTAAGCCTTTAGTAAGCCGGGGAACATTATTTGCATGCCCGGGATAACATGATTTGTACGATCGTGTTGTCTTCGGGCGCAGAGTGAACGAGCTTCAACGCCGCCTCCACAAATGTTACCACTAGACGCAGAACCCCCCCCCCCCTTTGTTTGGAATAGTGTGGGGGCGAATATTCATGAAATCTTTGTCCTTTGTGATAACTGTGATGAAATGGCACATTGGATCATATGTACCAATTGAGAGACAGTGAGGTATTAGAGTTGGAAAAATAAACCATGCTAATAAGGTATTACTTCAACATTATTTCAGATGGAAGAGGTATATTCATTAAGACATGAATTTCAATGCATGGGTGTAGTGCACGGTTGTTGGCTGCTCGATGACGAACATGGAATTTGTCCCATGCTGTTTTTAAACTGATTAAGACCCAAAGCCTTTTTCATTTTGCATTTTTCACCCATATTATATTTTCAACCGTTGAGCAAAAAGTTGTAACTTGACTGGATTTTAATATACCGTGCGTATCTACTCCGCGTATTATCAAAAACGCTGTGCTTTTTTATACATGTTTCCCGGCAGCTCGACCACAGTAACCTTCAGCACATTTTCCACAAGTGGATGCAAGCAGCTTAACTCCTGTAATTGCCTGTAAAGCGAGCTTAAGCTCAGTACTCGATACTTAGCGTGTACCTGTACAGAAAACACGATGATACTCTGTTCTTTGTGGGGGGAGTGGTACCGCCTCCACTTCTCCTTTGTAATCGGAATGAAGAACAGCTGAGGTCTAGGATGGCCGTTATGATAATCAAGCACAACCATGAAAAGCGCGTAGAATGTCAGGAACCAAACAACGTTTATCATAGGTGAGGACGCCATGCAATCAGCGGTCATCAAATGTACATTTGTTTAAATTGTTGGTGCGGAACAAGACAAATTACCGCACCAAGAGCAATGAGATCAAAGCAAGCTGCTCTGAACATCAACACACAACTTAGCAGTTATATTGTTGCATGCCAGCCTGCTTACACAGCTGCATGGCATGCAATGAATCTGAACATACCGACGAAGGCTTCAGCTCCTCTGGATAGATCGGTGGGATCCGTGGAGATGAGGTAGTTACTGGTGGTACTTTTCTTGCGTTTCCGGCCGGCTAAGAGAAACACCTGCGGGCACGTATGGTCAGCCACCTGAGGCGCATTGCTCAGATACGTGTGAAATCTCCGTGAGCAATTGCAGCTCTGTCTTCTCGTAACCTTAAGGCAGCAGCTCACTGGACGCAACTGTAGTCAAAGTGTGTCGAGCGCTGCGTATTCTTCGATCGCAGAAATGCCACTCGGACGGTGCGACCTACCGTGTACACAGTGCAGTAGTGCGACCTGTCGTGTTAAGTGTAGTGGTGCGACC